AGATATTACGTTCTCACACAGCGAATATCAAAATGGCTGTCTTCAGGTTGTTTCGCAGTGTAGATGTAATTGTTCTAGCGACGTTTAATAGGAGCGTATTACCACCATCATCGCCCTGATAATACGTGTAGCAAGTATATCTGAAACGTCCGTAAACTGCCAGACTGTATGAATCAACTCAGAAGACGGCCATATTCATTATCGATACATCTGCGTCTGAAAATACTGCATCAGTGATCGACTTCTGAAAACACGATTAGTTTAAATAGCGTAAGATGTTAGATTCAGCATTGGTGTGTAAATTGACGGTGATTAAAGGAAACATGATAAACACGCTAGGATGGTACAATAGAGAATTATAAACACAAACACTGATTGTACGTGTAAGGCATTATGTCGTGGGATGGTGGGAACAATGTAACATTGCCAGTCTGCGCATTAATCGACCTAGTTAAAGTAAATCTCGATTATTACGCTTCCTGGTTTATCGAATAAGCTTTAGTTGGACGTGTATGGTTTCATTAAACTAAATTAATAAAATTAACTCCTATAGCAGGTATCCATACTACTACATGTGGGACGAATTTATTTTTTTGAGATTTGGCGGTAAATAACAATGTTTTTTTTTGTATTTAAGCCCAAATTTAACTTGTCTGTATTTATCTAAAACACCCCCTACTATAAACAAAATTTTCATGTCATAAAACATGGGTCTCGTTAAGATTTATGACACATATTTATACATTTTCCCATACAACGAATATATAACTATATTCGAGAATAAATCATACGACTTTATAACGTTATAACTGTTGTGTAATTAGCTTGACAACTATAGATTTATATCTCAAATAAATATAAATTACAGTCAATGAGTTACGTAGAATAACGAAGAAACTATTTTAGAAATATTTGTATTACGCTATCGTTTATATTTTCGTACTTTTCTTGTTCTGTTGTACTCAAAATTTGTGATTTACGTTGCCCAAATGAACTCAGCAGAGGACCTGCGGTAGAGAAACCTAGGCCTCGTGATAATATATTCATTTTGTAGCGTGTTAGTCACTCTTCCATGTGGTGCGCAAAAAGCCATGTTGAAATGAAAGTGCACAGCATGGAACACTTATTTTTACTAAAGTGACATGAATAAATAGCTTTCGTCTGATACGCCATTTTTAAAAAAACACAAAAGTCATTATAATTCGTCTATTAGATTTTGCCATCATTATTTATATGTATATCTTTACTTTACTTTGAACTTTATAATTATCAGCGTGATTTATGCAGTAGGTTTTAATTCCACGCTTTCTTATCAGTGCACAAATCAATAATACTTTAAATTAGTTTAGTTATTTATTTTTAGGATTACTGGTTATGGGATATTTTTCAACAGCCACTGTGTCTTTACATATCAATCTCAGAATTGTTTTCATTTAAATAAACCTCTTGTTTGTATGTCGTATTAAAGCCATAAGTTATTTTATGGACTTGATCTGACGTATATATATACAAACAAAGAAGTTTATTCTGCTTACATTATTTACTATTGCAGTAATTAATCCTTTTCTGCATCAGCTTTCGTGATACAAAATAATGGAACGTAATAACGTTAATCTAGATCAATAACCTTATTCTACTGTCTGAGATTGACTGACAACTTTGCTAATTATCGATACGATGTTCGAGTTACATCACGTATCGAAAGTAACTGAAACCGGATAAAAGAATGTAAAACTCATCGTGTGGAAAAGTGAGCAGTACTGTTATCCTGTGTTAAACAGAAATGCTAATTATCGATACGATGTTCGAGTTACATCACGTATCGAAAGTAACTGAAACCGGATAAAAGAATGTAAAACTCATCGTGTGGAAAAGTGAGCAGTACTGTTATCCTGCGTTAAACAGAAATGCTACTCGATATGTTTCTGTTATGGTAATCGTACTACGTAGATGCTGACGGTCTTGGAACTGCTATAGAACACAGCCAATCACGTAGCCGGTTATGCTGCTACTAAAATGGAACTGATGATGGTGATTTAGAGGCTCGCTAACCAGCGACATCCTATTCCAGCTCCACACGGAGCTACAAATTACGAACCTTCGATCGAGTTTCAGAGATTTCCTTCTCCTACGTTGGTCTGCAAAGTGTGCATCTGGTGGACTGAGAATGTTGGTAGCATGTTTATGTGCGTATATCAATAGTATTTTCATATCCGTGTACGTTTTAAAATTTCAATTAACAGAGTTCTATTGAGATGTTAAAAGTCATTTAGGTTTACGATATTTCTCGTACATTACAGTGTTACAAACATTCCATCATTAGTAAATGTCCTGAACCAGATAAATTCAATTTATACCATCATTTAATAGTTATTTAAAACATGTTTATATATATTTATCAATCGCTTCCGTTCTGAATTTTGTAATAAAATTTTGTATGGATTCCTGACTTGATCTCATTGGGGTTTATTACGTTTAATAGTATTTTGTGAAGAGTGCAATTTTCTGAAGATTTTAATTATGTATTTTTTTTATTATACGCCTTTCACTTTCTCTGTATTATGTACATAATATATTTTCATCTGAAAAGACAATCTCCTAATCCCTGGAGCATAGAACGTTCTGTTAAATTCTGATATTTGGATTATAGACCTTGGAGAAATGTAATAATGAATGTTTACTGTCGTATTTGAACACAGCAAATTCACGAGGCCAGTAAACATTTTATTTAAATGAATGTCAGGGCGGGATGAAAAATTGAAACAGAGGTAGTTTGAAGTCTTTTTACGATGACATGAGATACTTTGAATAGACACGTATCATTAATTATTTGTGTGATTGTTTAGAATAAATCGAGATAAAAGATCATTATCATCTACCTGTTCAGACATGTAGGCGTCAATTAAGATGACTGTAATTCTAGGCTGTTTGTTGGAAACTCAATGAGAGAGAGAGAGGAATTTATGGTATTTGTAAAATTATTTTTGTTACGTCTGATCGCGAAAATTCTGCCCTCTTGATATTGACCGATACGTCTGTTAACAACATTTGACAAGGATATATTTACTTTCGATATTTCTGCTTGTTTATTTAACACTGACCTACTTTGTTCCAGTTAAATACTTCAGTGAAAGGAACACTTAATTTTATTGTGCTGACTTTTATGATGTTTCTAGTCAATTTTATCTCCAGACGTTTCTCGTTTCGTTCAGTTTACCTCCCTCAGTGTGTAACAGCTGTGACCGATGTTATTTTTTTTTGAAGTAACAAATGAAATTGATTGATATAAGTCAGTGAAGAGAGACAACATTTAGTAACTAGTTTTGTTTGAAATGTCAGAATACTCTATACAGAGGTTAATAAAAAAAGTTTAAACATCGCTACTGATAAAATGAGAAACAGTGTAGAATCATGAATTAAGCGTAAATCAACAATGTCGCACAAGTCGTTGATGGTACGACGTCGATCTTCGTAACTTTTTCGGGCGTTGTGCTCGAAGATGGTCGTCCAGAACGCTCGTCATCATCGACAGAGGTTCGGCCGGCCCTTTTTAAAACGTGAATGCCACACAAAAGTTTGCGGACTCCCCAAATGTTTGCTTTAGCATTTCATAGGTTTCCTTAGCCGTTTTGGCGAGTCTTTGGCAAAATTTGATGCACACGCCATTCCGAAATCGCAGGAGGGTCGGTGTAATGCACTACCAAAACGCCCGTAACTAAGAAACAAATGCTAATTCGATGATGCCGGCTGGCACACTGATTCACTATGAATGTAGGCCGCACCCCCTAGCGGGAGAAGCTCGTACTACATCCGGTTCGCCCTCTATTGACACGGTCTTGAAACTTTCCGATCGCACCTCGTATTTCTCTTTCTTTATATTTCTGCATGCCACCCCTCAAACGAAACAACGTTACGTAAAATTATTTTCTGAATCTTTCTTCTGTATTTGTTATCCTTTGTTAGTCCTCAGTAAATTAATAATTTATATAATATTACTAATTATTACTGTAAATAACAGCCCTAAGCAACAAGTTTATACCAGTATTGGATAGCTTTATTTCAACCTTGAAAAATAATGTAAATTCGTCCTTTACAGTGGTTTTCGAAAGTACGACAAATTATCGAATAAACTTAAAAACAATTTATATATTTCATATCCCATACATAAATAGTGCATATAAATCGAAGTAGGCTGTGTTAGCTGCTTTTAAGTTTTGAATTTTCACTGAAATCAGAAAGGAATAAAAACAGATTTCATTTTTTCACAGCGGTGAGTTTGAAGATAGCTGACTTCTGAATCGTTGCGCCTTGTAGTCTGGCAAAAGTTTTCCAACATTTGAAAGGTGCTTGCTGAATCTGTTATCAGGGTTGTGAACATCGCCCTTATGACGGAGATAGCAAAGACTTCTGAAACTTCAACGAAAGTCTAGTAGACTACATCTCGTATAAATCCAGAACACAGTCATGTTCGTAACAAGTAAATATTTCTGTTACGTTTATAGAATCAAAGGAGCTTATTACTCGGTATAAATTACGTAAGACAGTAGTGTACAGCACTAAAGTTAGTGCTTGAAAGTGAATGACGAACTTTCTATTTACATTATCCGAAAGCGAGAGATGTTTCATCTCACTGCTTTTTTCACTTTCATCTCAAATATTTGATCACGAAAAGTTCAAGAAATCTGAATGACCTAATTTACGTACGTGTCTATGCTAATAACGTTCATGTGTTACGAAGTAATTTTCATACCATTAAATTATAACATAAATTTCTCCAACAGTCCAGTAACAAAAATTGTCTACTGGTAAATTTTGACAGAATTTAATCTGTGAGAATGGCTGTAACACGGTAAAAAAAGAAGTTGGTGTGTTATGGGTGTGGTTTCTGCTTCCATCATCAGGGCGATTCAAAGATGCAGTAATTAGTTTATAGTATAGAATAATCGGAACATATTACGGGTTATAAACATTATTGACTTTAATTTATTTAATTATTTCAGCAACAAAGGCGTTTGGATGTGCTGACTATAACAAACCCGAGTAACATGAAGCCTGGAAATAAAAAGCAACATGTTGTAGTTGTCTTAAGCCGTATTCACCCTGGAGAGTCTCCGACATCCTTCGTCTGTCAAGGTAGGACCTCCGTGAATTTCTAAAATATTTTTTTAAGTTTGATGGTTTTAGACGATAAGTTGTAGCTCAGTAAATTTTTTATCCATTTTTGTAGGGGACCTTCTTACAAATATTTTCTGGGTGTTCTGTTTATCCTTATCAATATAAACTCTGGTTCAGCGCATTAATAATGTGGATATGTGATATTATATCAACGGAAGAATTTATACGTAAAAATTTATTAACAAATTTTAAATTTCGTTTCTTCATTGTTAATCTGCGGTATCCTGTTTTGAAATTTGGGAGAATTGTTTTAGAAACGTTTTGGAAAACTTTGCAATACAAGGTCTTACATGCAGTCAAGTATAATGTTTAGATGTAATTTAGATTTAAGTTTGTAAAACTTCGGGATGCTTCAGAATTATTTACAAGGTACAACATGAAAGAGAAAACATTTACGATAGTTTACTGTTAAAAAACAATTGGATCACTACAATAAATCAAATCAAACTTTCGTAATGTAGTCAGAATTTTAAAATTTTAAAAGAAATTCACGTAGGATAAAGTATAATATTACAATGCGGTCTAAAGCAATGTAAAACTTATGCCATAAACTTTATTCCGTATGTAATTACACAGGCGAGAGGAAGCCGTTGTTTTAAAGCAAAACACAATACGCGTCGAGTTCTCGCGTGTTTTTCTCAAGTTATATGAAAAGAGATATGGCTACAAGGCACAGTTATGGGCAATGCAGAGCGCTGTAATTAATCCACGGTAGAATCTTATGAAACGTTTACTCGATGAATATCAGAAGCGCATACTTTGCCTCTATGTACGTAAAAAAATGCAGAGACCTGGAATTTCAAATTACGAGTTCAATTTATGTGCGCCTGAGCTCGGAAAAAGAGTTTTGCCGTGTGCAAATTTGTTCGTACTTTCTCCGCGTGTCTCACTGTAACGACTTGCTTGATTAATATCTTTACTTAAGTGTGCCGTTCGTTGTAATTTTACTTTATTACTCCCATAGCTTTTCAGCTGTTATTTGATAGTTTACAGTAATGTCCTTTTTCCTGAAAGGAGTTTTTTTTAATATGTAGGTGCTTATATAATGGCGCTGACTTTTCTAATTAATTTTCTGAATTCGATAAGGATTGTATATAAGACACAGCGGTGAGTATGAAGATTTC